GCTTCTGCTCCCCGCAGGCCAGGCCACAGGGCGCAGGCTGGGAAGCAAACTGCCCTTAGGCACCCACAACCACCATGCTGCAATTTTGCAAGAAGCACAACTGCCAGCCCTGGTTCCTGCTCCCTTCCAGGGGTGCCAGCAGCCTCCCGGGCCTGCATCATTTCTCCTTTTTCTAACCAGATACAGGCTTTCAAAAAAAAAAAACCAAACAAAACACAGCGTTCCCTGTGCCTGCAGGTATCGGCTCTGCCCTGAACCTGCGCACAAGTCACCAGCAGCCACTGGAATTATCCAGAGAGCAGCAGCACAGCAGGGCTAAAGCAATTGGAACTGCAGCCAACGTACCAATAGAGAGGTACAGGGTCAAAACCCCCTTCTAACCTTAAACAGTGCACTGGGGTAGCTTCAAAAACCCTAAGTTTGAAAGCATTATCTTAACATTTAGGGAAAAAAAGGGGGGGGGGGGGGGGGCAGAAAGGAAGCTGTGGCTTTGCTGTGCACAGGAACAAGGATTCAGAGCAGCTCGGCAGGGCATGCATGCAAAATATGCCCACGCAAGCAGTTGCCACTGGAGAGGGAGGGCAGGCACCGCTCCTCTTCAGAGGCTGTGGAAATGCTTCAGCTGCGGCCAAGCCACACAACTGCAATAACAGGGGAAGGAGGAAAGGAAGCCGCTGCCTTTACAAAGCTGAGGATGCTTTTTATTAGTGTGCTTGAAAAAAAATGTAGAGAACATTTTACAGACATGTCCATAAAATCATTTTATAAACAAAACACCAGCATACAAAATCCTGCAGTGCTTCCTCCCTTGCTCCCTACAAAATGATTGTCTCTCATTAGTCTGTGTGTCAGGTGGGGGAGAGGAGGATAAATAGAAGGGGATGCCCCATACTCAAACTTTGTTTCCTTCCAAAGTCAGATGGAAGAAGTAAACTTCTGCAACCCTCCTTGTTTTAGAAAAATAATTAATACGGTGTATACAGGGGAGCAGATGCAACATCTCAGCACGAAAACGTGGGAGCAGCACCTGAGCCCTGGACCCCAGTCCATGCATTCCCGTCTCTGTGACAGGGGAGCCCTGTTAGTGCATGTTAAGCAGGTTAGTGCCCTCCTCAAATATAGCTTAAAGCTGCAGCTCCTCTCACGCCCAGAAAACACCTCAAAAAAGTCACTGACAGCCCTGCAAGGAGAAATAAGCTGTAGAGGAATGCGGAGTTTAAACACAGCCACATTTTTTCCCCCCTAACCTTCACAATGCTTGTTCATCCTGCCCACAACTTAAAAACAGAATAAACAACATCTCCTCCAGGCCCAGGACTAATCTGGATAAATCTCCCAGGCTGCGACTTCATGCAGAGCAACTGCGAGAGCAACAACTGCACTGCTCATTAATTTGTGGTCGAATTTATGGTTTGGAAAACAGCCCTTTAAGGTCCTTCACGGTTCAGCTCAGAAGTAGTTTCATACCTGCAGTACCCAGAAAGGAAACAAAGAGTTGCCCTGAGGCACCCAGGGGATTTGGCAAGGGTTGAGAGCAGACGCTGGTGTGTGTGCTGCCCAGAGAGCTGCTCACCCGCTCCTTCCATCCCATAGCCCAAATGCTCCCACCATGCTAGGCAGGGAGAGATTTTCAGAAGCAGCTCTGTCTTGCCTACTTTTGAAAGTCTCATCCACCCAGGAAATGCTGCTGAGCCTGCCCGGGTAGGATCAGTCCTCTCCCGCTATCCTCGTGCCACGTGGTGAGGCTACCAAGGGAAAAACAGCTATGTGGGACCAAGGGAATGGGTACATAGATCTCCCACTGCCTGGCCTATCTGCGGGAAGGAGAAAGCCTCGCCAGCAAGCTCTCCTCTTAGCCTGAACCCAAGAAAAGATCAAACAGCAAGAGGTGAGGGGAGCCTCCTGGCTGACAGATACTTCTAGCCCTCAGCGCTTTCTGTGCTGACAGGGAAAAAAAAGGGGACTTTCGAGACAGGTTCTCATCACATTGCGGGCAGCGAAACACGAGCGATGATGCAACTTGCCGTGACCACGGAATAAACATAGCAGAGCTGGGAAGGGATCTCTTTTCCCCCTTCCTTCCCAACCCCCAGCTACCAGGTCTGGCAGCCTCCTTGCCAGCTCCAGAAAAGCAGACGGGTGAGAAGAATCATAGTCTTCCACGTTCCTCCTGCATCCAAAATTCAGGGGAACGGTAAAGATCTTCAGTGGATCTTCCTAAGATCCGACTCAGTCAGCATTTGCCAGCCCGAGGAACATTTCTGCAAGAGAGAGCAAGGGAGGAGCAACGCTGCTGCACTGGAACTCGCTGACCTGTATAAACAAAGCAATGACCTGGCTGAGGACTAACCAGCAGTACTGTTAGATGCCCATAAGCTCTCTTTAACCCAGAGCCAGGCAGAAATAAGTCAGACTTGGAGATGCAAAACCTTGCATTTCTTCCTCCTAGTCATCTATCTGAGCTAAGGACCAGCCAGAGATTTGCCATTTACAGAAGTGGCAGACAGAGGTCAACAGCCACCGTCACCCTGCAGAATCCCCCCTCTTGCTGAACAGAGACAGGAGCTTTGGGATCTACAGAAGTGATCCCAGTCCTGGGCAGGGCCACAGGCAGAACTGACCAGCAGAGATGCAAATTCTGGGTAAAACTGCAGCAGAGACAGAGTTTGTCTCCCCAAACTCCTGTCCTACCACCTATGGTCATAACACGATGAGATGCTGACAGCCCACACTTCTGTCTCCAGCTGCCACAGAACTGCTCGGGGACAGCTAAAATTCAAGAACCGCAGCTGGCTCTACTACAGGGAGTGCATCTAGGTGTGCCAAAAAGGAGGGGAAAGGCAGACTGCTCTTCCAAAAGTGCTGAAATTTCACACCACCTCTCCTTTTTTTACATAGGAGGGTGGAGAACAAACAAAAACTCAGTCCCTGATCTTTTATTCCTAGGTTAATGGTACCCTTTAAGCAAAAGAGATCTTCAAAAAGGGCAAAAGTTTTAATATTAAGCAGGTGGCTTCAGCGCATTTCCTGCTGTTAATGGATTACACATCCCTTTCCCCAAGGTCTGTTAGTGGTAAGACAAACAGCAGGCTTGAGCCCAGGAAGCAGCTCAGAGGAAGGTCTCTGGTCTGTCCGAGATGTTCACTCTGTGCTGAGCCTGGGCGTCACGCTCAATCTGGGTGTAGCAGCTTTGCACAGAGTCCCCTGGGCCTCTGTTTTTTGAGCAATTCACTGCCTAGGGGAAGAAGTTTAAACCCTAAAGGCCAACAGTACACTGAACAGATCTATACACATATCCCAATATACACGCTGTGAAGTAATACTCTAGGTTATTGCATAGAAGGCGGCTTGCGTTAGCTAGGCCTAAATGACGGTCTGGGAGCGCTGTCGGAGGCTCAGGGGCTTCAGAGAGCTGTTGGAAGCAGATGCAGGCTCTTGCAACGGTGTCTGAGAGTCCTCTTTTCTGGAATGCTCCTCATACCATTCCTGCAACAGGAGATCAAACACACTGAGGGCAGGCTCTGCCCCACAATGGCCTTGCAGCTCCCCAGCAGGACCCCGAAGGGTCTGCCCTGCCCTGCCACGGGAAGGCACATTTGCTCAGGCAGAGAGGCTCTTTCCAAAGCCCTGGATATAGCCTAACCTCCTGGATCCATCTGGTTAATGGCAGCACGGCTGTGATGGACGCACCGAGACTTTGCCACCCACATCCAAGCAAGATGTACCAGCTACGGCTCAGCTACAGTTGGCTGAACGGACAAACGTGCCCATCAAGGAGGAAACATCCCTCTCTCTGGATGTCCCTCCTGAACCTCTAGGAATTTAGTATTGACGTCCCCATGGTGTTTGGGATTTGCAGAGTTGCTCCCAATCCTGGGCAGTGCCCAGGGCGTTACAAGGTGTTACATCCCTCAATCAGAGACCATGCAGAACAGGCGGGGAGCTCCTCTGCAGATTTCTACCCAGCTCCATGGTAAATAACATGTTTATTTTTGTTAGGGGGACTGAAGACTCATCCCCAAGCTAGCTGCCCAAGGGACAAAGGACAGATTCAAATGGTTACGAGATTAATTCTTTCAGTACTAATCATTACATTAGCCCGTGACCTTCAACCTGGAGGTGAGTGTCTGGCAGGCACTACAGCGACCAAATCCATGGCATAAAGCGCCTGACCACGAAGGGCACTAGCAAGAATGCCCTCAACAATCCAGAGAATCAGGTGATTTGTTTCCCATCTGTGTTTAGCCTGCTATTCTGAAGGAAAACCAGGCAGCATTGCTCGCAACCACACAGCACTTTGCCTGGGAGAACACTTGGTTTCTGTGTCAGCCAGACACGCCCAAGATCAAACACAATCACATTCCAGTGGCTTAACAAATTAGCGTTCAGCAGCCAAGCCCCAGGAACGCACTACGCATGTGCTCTTCGGCCCAGCAAACACGTCCGCCTCGGTGAGTCTAGGTGAGCTCAGCCGAGCTGGCGTGCCTACGCACACAGCGAGCGTGCCGTTGCTGTGACTTGGCTGACACACGCCTCCACAGCCGGGCAGCCAGACCCGCTGAGGAGGCTCTGCTGAGTTCTGTGGTTTAATAAAGTCCCTGAGTGCAAGAACGGATCAATCTAAAGTACACTTCAGCTACTGCCCGCCCTTCTCACAGAGCACGTGGCTGCCTGGGTGTTGGAGGAAGGCGGCCTCCAGTGCTTACAAGGATGGTTTCTTATTCTAGGCAATGTTCTGCTCACCACAGACTTGCTGGTATTTCCAACTCAAGCCCACATACCTGTATCTCCTCCTCATACATCTTCATACTCAAATCACTCTTGGTCCTTGATCTGCGTCCCAGAAACAGTGTTGACATTTGCTAAAGAGTTGGGGGAAGGAGGAGGAAAAAACAAAAAGTTCGTTCATCAGTCACTGAGAGGTTCACAGGATCAGTCCCTGGAACTTCAGGCATCCTTCAGATGGACATCCATCATCCATGGATGAGCTCAGGCTATCCTGGGTTCCTTCTACTGTCATGGGAAAAAGGCATTTTAGGGTGCACGTCACCTGAACAAGCCTCTGCAGGCTGAGATGAATCACACTGAGCAGATCCCCAAAGACTACAGAGGGAGGTGTAGCCCAGATGGATGTGTCTGTCAGTGGTGCTTAATTTAGTCAGATGAACATACCATCAGTACCTGGAACAAGGCTCAAACCTAAGCTTCCAAGTAAGATCTCGTCTAAGAGCAATTTCAGGTCCCACTTGTCTAGACCACACCATTTACTCCATGGGCCTGCACTTCTTAAATTGTGTAAATAGAGAGCTGAAGTCTGACTTACTCTCTGGCCGCATGAGTTGTATGAACAGGATTGAGAAGCAAAAGAAACCTCAGGTCTGGCATCATTCATTCTGGACTCTACTGCAAGGCTGAGGACAGCATCCTCCTTTGGTTTATTATTTTTGTCTTGAAAATTGCTTCTGATCGGTATCATTGTTGCTATTCTGAATTTTGTGTGTGGACAAGAGCTCAGCCTTTAACTACCAAGCCAACCAAAGCAAATAAAGGTCACCTAAGAAATTGTAGCACCTGCAGTTTGTAGTGGTGATGCAAGAATATAATGGCTATTATTAAAACAACCACTTAAGCTCTTCCCAGATGCATGAGACAACAGTTCTGAGACAAGAGCAGTTGCCCAGGTCAGCTCATTTTTCCAATTGTCCATCCTATTTTGGAATGAAAACGTAAGCAGTGCCATGGAGAAAGGAAGCCTGGTGTTTGGAATTGATACCACCATATTGCTGCATAATGCTTCAGGACTGTCCAAGCCTAAGTGTACGATGGCACAGAGAGAGAGGCAGGAGAATTACAAGACAGTGGCTTGCTTAGAGAAAAGTTAATCTGCTTTTTCCAGTCAATGCTGGGCCATACAGTTCTAAGAGAAGTTTGTGGGTTGTAGCAATGTCAAGTCTATTCAGAGTGGAGAGGAAATTCAGCTGCTACTTTTCTAGAGCAGCAAAACTTTGTGCCAGTGCTGCAGAGTCCCTCCAGTGGCTCAGATCTCAACACTAAGATAACACAGGCAGTTTCCCTCTTAAGAGAGCAAAAGGCCTTTGTGGCCCTGGCACACTTCCCTCCCCTGCAGCCAAGAACTTGCAGTAAGCATTTCCTCTTACCCCATATTTGTCCATCTGCAAAACGATCTTCTGCAGCTGAGCTGTTTCAGTGGCAGCTGAACTCCGCTTGTACAGCTTAATTATGCCCACCACTTCCTCCTTGGAGATCTCCTTCTCCAGCACAATGCCGTTGTCTTCTGGAGCAGCAAGAAAAAGAAAGAGGGGAAAAAACGTCTCCAAGGTGAACATTCATCGGCCACTACGATAATGTAGTTCAGCGCTAACAAATGTCTTTCACTGCACCCTACAAACTGGGTGCAGGAGGGATCATGATGAAATGTGTTTCTGTAACTAACACCACCTGGCTCCTACAGGCCTGTGCCTCATATTTGAATCTTCTGGCACATGAGAAGGATGAGGGGCTGGTGAAAGCTACTCCCATGGCTGGGGCCTTCACCACATTTCTGTGGGGAAGATTAGCGTTAATGGTATGCGGTAGCTATATCTCCTTCCTGCAGAAAAGTGTAAAGAATTATTAAGATTAGTTTGCATAGAGAATGAATAGAAAAGTCTGGGTGTAGATCACCTGGAGGAATAGCAGAAGGACTACAAGAGATTAACGTGTTTATGGCACCTACATTAGCAGGTCACAAAGTTACATGCAGTTTCAGATGCTCAGCTCAGGAGACAAAGGACAGTGAGTAAAACTGATGACTCATGGGGATGAGGGGATGGAGAGACTACTCACTGTCAGTTCCTAAAGAGTACAGAAAGGTATGCCCAAAACCTAGTCACCAGTCTAAGTACAACTGGGAGATGTGGAAAGAACTGGATAGGCAGCGTTCCTTGTCCTCCACATCACGGCAAAGAGTGCTGGCAAACCACTAGGATCCAGTGTCTTGGTGCCTGAACGCTGGACAAGGTACTTGGAGACACATTCTGGTGGCAGTGAGCATATTAGTGAGGGAGGGAAATTGGTTTTAAAAGAAAAATCATCTTCCCCTCCTGTAAGATCTCTCGTTGAGCTTTGCTACATCATTGCTGTAATGTTTCCTAGATTTCTTTTGTGAAATGCGTGTGAACTTCCTATCTTCAAATAATTTGGTTGAAACGGCTCAAGTAGTTGAAGTTTATATGCGTGCACATGCACACAGACACACACACACACACACACACATATATAAAAAAACTACATACATACATATACATACACACACTTTTTGGGGAGAGGTGGGGGAGAGATTAGGGACAGAGCAGAAAGGCCAGATAGAAATATCACCAAAAGTGTAAGAACGAGCTTAGGGAGTCAGGCTAAAAAACAACCACCCAAAACCCAGGTCTTTGCTGGCCAATCCCATTGTCTCCTACAGACATAAGACACCAGGGAGAGAAGACACAAGGTTGTAGGTCAACCAGTCCTCAGTTCTGACCTTCTGAATCTTGGTTCTTCCGAGTGTAGTTCATGCGGAAGACAAAAGCATCCAGAATAAAAGCCACAATGATTGTCATCACCACCTGGGAGAGGACATGAACAGAAGACATCACGAGGCTGTTGCTGGGGGATTCTTCCAGCCCAATTGGACAGAAGCTGAGCATTTGGTCTGTGCTTCAACTCCATGCTCCCCAGCTCCTCCATGGCAGGAGAAATGCACATGTCACACATGTACCTGAGAGTAAACTGCTACCAGTCAACCACAACAGGGACAGAACAAAACTCTGTGCTGTCCTAGTCCTTACCCCAGACCCAGATTTGTACAGCATCAGCTTTGTCAATGCCTGTAAATTCAACTTTCTGCAAGTGATGTAGACTCACACCTGTTTCTGGAAGATGTTATGTAGAGGAACAAAGCTATCCTCATTTAGGGATGGAAGGTTCTGCTAGAACGCAGCAAACACAGTCTCCCCTCCCCATCGCCACTATTTGATGCATGAAGCATCTCCAGAAACCTACCATGGTCACTATATAGAAGATCATGAAATAAAGACGGCTCCAGTGAGTGGTTTGGGATGTCACTCCTTCCTAGAGAGGAGAAGGAAGAAGTCAGTAGTGCACAGAAGGGAGAGCCTGCTCTTAACTGCTTGCCAACAGACATAAAGCAGCATAAATACTATGTCCCCCTCTCATTCATGGCTCCATAGCTAGCCCCAGGGACTGCCTGCACAATGCTCAATGCCCCAACTGGTCCTTGCAGCTAAGCCGCCTCTGAAGCTAAAGAGGCTCCTATATGAAAACACACACAACATTTAGAGCTCGTGGCTGAATGAGCTATTGCTGCTAAGAGAACACAGCCTGGCCATCAGGGTGACAAGCTGGAGTACACAGTGACTTCATTTGTCCAGATCGTGAAACCTAGCCTGAGGGCTGGTCAAGATTCACAAGAAAACATGCCCAGCAGCATGCCAGAGGTCAAATATCACCCAATGATTAGGACCAAAAGACATCTGGCAACAAGAATTGACAATGTTGGGCCTAATCCTGCCCATCTCCAATCACCAGGGGAAGAAAAGAGTCATGGCATGGAAGATCTAGCTCAACTGACAAGAGTCTGTGCTGTCTGTACACACAAGGTAGTTGAAGTTTACTTACCATGATGATGTACCAGTCATTGACAACTGTCAGCTCAAACAGCGTGACTGTATATAAGTGGGAGAAAAAGAGACACAATTGCTTTATTCATCCTGACCTGCTTTAGAATGATTCTTAGAGCAAGCATTTGACAGGGAAGATGGACGCATGACAACAACAAAGTTTCAATACAGCCAGCAAATCCGGAGACAGAATGTAGACTCTCATCACTGCAGTTACTTCAGACAAAGGGGGTTAGACCCACAGAACCAGGAGCATGGCTTAATTTGTATTTCTTAAAAGTCTCAGAAACAGACTTGACCCTTTCCACAAGACAGCATGGAAACCTCTGAAGTCTCCAGGAGATGATAAGCATCTCTGCTCACACATTAAGAAAAATCATGGAGCGTAATCACCATATTGAAACTATTCTTCATCAGCGGGTTTAAAGAAATGTATTAGCATCACTAATGCTTCTTTAGAAGCACAGTGACTTAAAGCCCACCTTAAACATCTCTGGAAGTCTGGTCTGATCACCAGTCAGAACAGATCTGCTGGTTTCACACTGGCTTTTATGTGATGTCTGCTTACCTTGCAAAACAGTCATGGCACAATTAGTGAGCTGGAGCTCTTCAGACAGAAAGAACAGGATGCTGAGTGTTTGAGGTGCATTAGCAGGATTCTCTGGGAGAGTCCCAGGCTTACATGAGCATTACAGACCTGCCAAGGAGCTCTGCAGGAACACAGATGCACTAAGGAATAGTCCTTGCTACGGACAAAACTTACCAAAGCTGTTCAAAATGTTGTCGAAGTTGTTGAGATAGTAATAACCTTCTTCCACAACTGTCTTGTTGCCAACTGTATGATTCACCCAGCGGTAGGAATCTGCGACTGTGCTTGTGCTGGTTGGAGAAATCAGGACAAAGAATAAGAAGAGAACTGGAAAAACAAGGGAAATCTCAAGGGTTATAAATACCAAAATACTTCAGAGGTGTTGAGCAGGGTGGCAGTTTCTACCTCTTGGCCAACACTTGCCTTTTTCTCTGAAAGAATGCCTCTCTCTTTTCACAGCTCAGCACAAGCCCAGGGAGCACATGGAATCTTTCTAATCATTAGCAAATATTATACCAGAGAAGCTGAGTGTTTGAGTTAGACTCCTTGGCTCACACCCTTAAAGCCTGGCATTTCCAAGTGGTCTGCCATCATTTAAGATGAAAAGGGCACAGGACAGCTGAGCTTCCAAGACCAGGTGAATTTATCTTGTACAAAGCGAGACCTAAATATGTAACACATCTGGCAGAGCAACTCTGGCGTCACCAAGATAAAAATCTCAACTTTGCTCTATAGCAGATGTTACAAGAGTTTCCAGGCACGGTACCATGAAGAAGTCCTCCCAGTGCAGCTACCTGGCGCGAGTTACAGAGCTCATTAAAACCAGCCAACCCCACCACAGAAACCTCTCCCTTTCCAAGTGCAATGCAAAAGCCATTTCATGCAATCTTACCTAGAGAAATGAAGCGTCTCCCCTAGATTTTCCCAGCACGTTGCCTTAGTTGCAAAGCCCCATTCAGACCCACCCTCTGGCCCCTTCTCCACAGGGAGACAGAGCTGCCAGAGGCACTGCTACTGGCTTTGCACCAAACCCACTGCAGAGAGGGATGGATTTGCAGTACTCACTTGCAGCAGTTTGGGTAGACCACGCCAGCAAAGAACTCCATGCCAACAATGGCAAAGCAATAGTAGAAGATCAGCAGGGTTAAACCCAGGCTGGAGGCAAAAAAACAGAAAGAGCACTGTGCTGCTGAAGAGTTGCTATGGCAGGGAAACACAAAGTGACAGGCTGGTTTCTCCGGAAGGAATTTCCAACGGATGGGAAGCAGCACCGAAAACCCCAGACCACCCTCCCTGTCACTGTGGCTCTGCAGCTCTTTGACTGCTCTCATTCAAGAAGTCCTTGGACAAGGAGCTTGACACTCGCTGAAGAGAGAAACTAAAGAGCAGCCTGGATTCCCTCCCAGTCTGTCCTTTTCTGGTAAACAAACATCTCTCCACAGTTTCTTTAATACAGAGCAACACACACTGGTTCTGCCCTCTCCACGTCCTTGGATGCAGGGACTGTGCCAAGAACAGGGTTCTGTAGCTAACATGCTCTCCTCAGACCTCCATCCCTTAAAGAATAAGGTCTGAGGACACCCCACTCAAACACCAAGGTCCTTCTGCCCCACCATTTCACAATAATGCTCTCGAGTGGTTGTACTAAGGACAGGGAAACATATGGGGCTGAGTATATTCATGCCACTGTTCCTCCCAAATGGGCCTCCCCTCTCACCAGAAGCTGGGACGGGGGAGAAGAATTAAACAAGCATTGACTCTTAATTATCCTCCTAACAAAAAACCAGGAGGCAGCCCAGTGTGCTGGAGAACCTTATCACATACTGCTCCAGGAAACTGGAAGATTAATACCCCACTGCAGCACACTCAGGAGTCAGCAACAATGAACTGACAGAGCATAAACACCTTTAGCAGGTTTGACAGGTCCCTATCCTGACCCCAGCCCTAGACATGAAACCTTCACTCCCTTCTCCCCACCACCATCCAAAGAGAGGAATTCAGTACCTGGCCATCCGGGGGAACAACTCAAACATAGTGTCCAGGACATTTCTGTAGCGTTTCTTCAATTTAAAGAGCCTGAAAGGAAAAGCCAGTTGTTACCCTTGCACTGCTACTTCCCTGGTGGTGTTTGGAATAAACAGAGTATCCTAGTCCTTGTACCTCCCAGGCTAATGAACAGTAAGGTTTGCTGACAGCTAACTCACAGGACCTGGTCTTGCTCAAGTGGTCTCCACTCACCTAACAATGTCCCGCTCTCCCATCTGAATGCTTATGGCACATTCAACTAAGTGTTTACAGGATTGAGGAATCTCAAGGAAAAGTCTATATCTTCTTAAATAGCGTGACGCATAAGCAACTATGAAAAAAAAAAAAATCCCAAGAACTTAAGCCAGTCCTGTGTACAGGGTCAGGATTCATTACTCCTTTCCTCAGATACAAGCTTTTCTGTGTTTCCCCCATGACCCAATAAAAATTGATGAAAGAAAACTACATTGTTCCTGCTAATTTAAGATCTGGCAACTCCATCAGCCTTTACAGAGAAGCACAGCTGCCAAACACAGGCTTTGGCAGGGGCGCAACAGAGAAAACATTATTTTTTTTCCCCCTTGAGTGTCATAAAGTGTTCTTTAAATCCTCACTGAAGAGCTAAATTGCATTAGCTTAGCTTGCTTTTAACAAAACAACATTCTGCCTCTCAAATACCTTCCACCTATGGCTCTCAAAGCGTTCTGCGAAGGTGAATGTACCCCCATAACAGCCTCGAAATGCGAGGGTTAATCAGACCCATCTAACTGAGCTGCGGAGAGGTTACAGGCCACAGACTTGCTTAAAGTGTGAGATGCAGTTAGGGCAGGGTTGTACTTCACCCTAGAAAGCAGCATCCTTTGGAAACTGTAATTTCTGGTAATTCAATGGAAATTCTTAAACTGGCTCAGACTGTCTCACCCTGACAGAAGAGCTTTTCTCTGAACAGCATCAGACAATTTAGAGGAGGTGTAAGAACCCCACGAAGGCAGACACAGGATAATCTGCCCCCGGTAAATCCCTTGATCTCTATTAGAGATCAGCTTAAGCTCCAAAGCACGGGGTTTCATATCCCATCCCAAGTTTGTGTTATCGTTCATTTTGATAACTCTGGCTAATCTCATTACCCCACACAATTCCTGTTTGCCATGGTCACATACCCACAGAGCAATCCTTGCCCTCTCCTGGTAAGGAGCTCGGTCCCCATTTAGATTGATGGAAAACAAGCCTGGCTGTTTTCTTCACCACCTGCTCTCTGTACCCACCCCAAGCCTTCCCATCTCACCTCAGAAGCTGAAGGGGTCGCAAGACCACAATGAAGTAGAATGGCTCCATGTTAAACGCCAGTGCCATGAGCCCCAAAAATGCAAACAGGGTGACCGAGAAGTCAAAGCTGGAAAGAAAAAAAAATAAATAAAATAAGAGCAATGATTTATCACTAGCGTTTCAGCAGAGATGAGGTGCTTGGTGCTGTTCCAGCCTAACAAGATGCACAAGGCCAAGGGCAGAAGAATTACAATAGCCTGCTGATGGCCTTGTCTACAGGCCTAAAAGCTCATCTTCGAGTCGGTCTTTTTAAACCAAACAATTTTCACCACCTCTCTCTCAAAAACAGCAGTGGGCACTTACAGATTCCAACCTGAGGACAAGTACTCAATGGGCCCCAGTCCAGTGGTCTTCAGGAGCAGCTCCACGCCATAGACTGTAAATCAAGATGACACCCATGGTCAGAAATAAGCAGCATCACAAGGAGAGCTTATGCTTGCCCTCAAAGATATGTGGTGCTTTAAATACAGGACTGTTGAACATAGGTTTAACAGACTCCCACCCATCCTGCTTATTCTCAGCAAGATGCCAGAGACATCTTCCCTCCAAATCAACACATTTTCCTGTATTCATGGTGATTTCTCTCCAGAGCAGTCTACAAAGCAGTTCGCTGGCTAACATGCTATAAATGTTGAAGCACAAGGTCCTGTAGGAAAGGCCAGCAAGTGGTGTAGGG